ACGCATAAGCAAAGCTTGGCGCATGCAAGCTTAATAAGTTAAGATTTTTGCTTTGTCGTAGTGTACACAGTTCTACGTCGACCAAGCTTTGTCATCGCTAGGATGAACACTGTGACAATATTTTGCAATAGACAGGGATCTCATTTATTGATAAGTGGTAAATATAGTCGCATATATTAAACCATTCCGTGTGCAAACTAATCGAATTAATATTTACATGGTTACAGTTGTTGCTCCCTACTTCAAATTTCTGAACCAACGATATATCTCAGCGAACACTCCCAAAAGTAACGAGCCAGCGATATATCCCTAACAATGTAACTTTGAAAACACAGAAACGCGTTGCATTTTATGACCGGTGCTAGCCTTCGGCTAGGCCCCGGTAATAATGATGACATAATTCCCTAGAGGCCAGGTCTGAAAACAGGTGTGAAAAATTTCATTTTCTCGTCTGAAATAGGGTCAGGATTTAGAGAACCGGCGGCACACCCTCACCATGAATTCCCTGGCCGGAGTACACCCCTCCCCCGGGTACGTACCCCAACTCCTACCCCCCCTCCCAACAAGGCAATCAAATTTGATGGGCAAAAGAACGTTTTTAAACATCCAGACAAAATATGTTTTAATTTCTTACCAGATTACATTACAAATTTTCCCCTTCATTCATTTTAGGAGCACAATTGTCACACTCCATCCTTGTATCTTATGCTTGTCTTTAACATCCCTACGTGCGAGTTTGTCAAAGATTTCAATTTCATGGTATCTACGTCAATTCTAGCGTTTATGCTTTTATTTCACTGTTATTCTTGATTCATTTTCTTTATCCAAAAGGTCACCTTGGTTAAACAAGTTTAAATACTTTACATACATATATCCGATATTCTGGACCCAAATAGGTCTTTCAGGGTCAACAGCCAGCAACAACAACAACAAAACTAACTAAAAAATAATAATAAAAAATGTATAAGTAAGAAATTCAAAAGCTAAGTAACCTGACTGAATTTTCAAAACATAGTTAACTAAAAATCAAGACCACCTCGGACAATCACGCAAGAAAAGGGAAACTGGAAAAGAAAAGGGAGAGCAAGAAAAGATGGGATTTAAAGAACGCCTGAACCGACTACGGTTTTACTCTTTGTTTTTACAATGGCTTCTTTGGAGGTTTCACGGGACCTGGAACAGCTACCCACTTCAGCGAAGGCACGTTTGTATAATTTACTGAACTAGACTCGCCGAAAGACTTTACTAGGCTTCCATAAAACTCTGTTGCATTGCATGAAAACGAGAAGTTTTCTCAGTAGAACAGACGGCCAACAGCTTATAATAAAAAAGAATTAACCCATTAAGGCCTCTCTGAGGCTGTAAATAGATGATCATCTTATTTTAAAATTATGGTCGACACGAAAATGAAAATTGCCACAAGATTAAGCTGTTATGTTTCAAGATTTTTCCTTTGGTTTCTTGTTGTTTCTCTTCAACTTAAAGGAATTAGTTGTGTGCCTTTTTCGACCTCGAAAAGTTTAAAGATCTGATTACTGACACAATTTTTTTATACCGTTATATGAGTTGAAGATTCGCTATTTTTCTCAGCCGTGAATTAATCTGTCGGTGGCTGAAGACTGGCCTAAACGCCCCTTTATATTAAATACAATAGCTCGTAATCTTGTTCAAATCTAGCCTGGGTCATAGTGCTGATTATTACAAACTTAAATTGTTTTGTATTCAATCGATTTATCCCGATGCACAAGGATCGACCTTTGCATTAATTGAAACCCTATGGTTCATTCATTTAACACTGTACTTCTTCTTCACATTTACAGTGTACGTATTCAAAACACCTTCAGTAAAATACAGGTCTTGTCTTTGTACTTGTGTAAGCTTATGTCATCTGGAGTTTCGAGTGAAATCGATTTCAGGTTTAATTTAAGTTCCCATTTTTGATGGCTTTAGTCTACACCATCATCAAAAGGCATGTATGGCGAGGAACTTAAAGCGAGTTGTGAACTTTCAAATTTATCGAAACTCTAATCAATCATGCTTGCTGAAGGGGAGAAGACACAATAAGAGATTAGCATAACAAGTTCATGCACAAATTTGATTCAGATAAAAGCTTTGGAAGGTACAGATACAAACAAACACAAAAACTCTAGACCAAATTGAGAACAAGAGTAAGCTATAGGAAGCAAAGTCACCAAACTCTCCACTAGTGAGTGACTTGCCTTGCGCCAGAAACGTTTTGCGTTTTCTCTATACTGCTCATTTGCCCTCTATTGAACTTGTGTGCGAAATTATTGAAGTGTAATTTCCGTCGTCCGAGTCTTCTTTACCCTATTCCGAAATTTAGACTTCTAAAAAGGCGTGCGTTACATAAACAAAAGGAAATATAGAATTGAAAAGGCAATATGAATACGGCACTGAAATTGGAAAACATGCTTTGTCGAAACACGCATCGCCTTTTGGGTTAAACTGGGTGAACAATTAGCAGTGCCCGCATGTAAGTGCCTGGATAATACGGAAACGATCGTGGAACGGAAGAGGATTTATAACTGGGCTTAAATTGAGGCAGCTCAGTAAAAATCCAGTCAGCATATGCCTAAAAATAGAGACAAAACAATGCCAAAAAACAGGACGTCACTTGCGGCATTATTCACTGTAACTTGAAAGCGCTAACTAGAGACTGGTAACTAAAGGAAAATTCTTGACAAGGTAATCAGATAAAGTAGGAGTATTTTAACAAAGTAATCAGAGAAATACACACAATATACTTTGTTTTTGTCTTTTTACTTTGTATTTATAGTTGTCAGACAATGATTTATGCGCTCTTAAAGATAATAGGGTACGTGTGTTTGCCTGTTACGAAAAATTGTATTGTGTAACTTTTAAGCGTGGCATTCTAGAAGCTTCGCGAAAGTTCATAGCTTGTTTAGTTGAGGATCTTGTGTAAGCGTTTCCAAAGCGGTATATTTTGTAATCTTTCTATAATTAGCCTATTTAGAAAGTTCTAGAATCTTACTGTGAAAGTATATAAGTAGACGAGTCCAAGCAAAGTTTTAACTAGTTTTCACAAGCGAAGAGAGTTTGACGTTAGTCTCGTTTAGTCAAGTGTGACGGAAATAGTGTCTACTCAAGTTGGCGGAGGCCGTGTAAGTTTATCGAGTTACGTGGTGTTGTAGAGTTTTACTTTGTGGAAACTACGTTAATTTTTGGAATAAATCATCTTGTTGCTTTTCCGACAACCCTGCGTTCAGTTTAATTTGCAAGCTACCTGTCCTCTAAAAGATTACCCGCGTAATATTGGGGGCCTGTCAGGGAGAGGAATTCAATTGTTTGCCGACCACGGTAACCAAGTTGCTGTTGCAGTTCAAGTGCGTCATCTGTCGTCTTTACAGACTTAAAGAAATCCTCCATATAAAAATTGCGCATAACAGCACGAACAGCAACAGGGTATTGCTGTCTATTGTCCTCTGCCGTCCTTAAAAGGGCATAATTAGAACACGTTGGTGCACACTTAGCCCCAGCGATATGTTGCAGGTACTGATAGACTTCGATTTCAGACTCCGGTGAATAGCGCCACAGAAAACGCAGGGCAGCTTGTTCCTCTGGTGGGACAGCAACTTGGTTAAACATTGTCTCTTAATGTCTCCAGAAAGGGCAATCTTTTCATCTATGAATCGCATGAAGATTACAACAAGATTGTTCAGCAAGTCAGGTCCACTTACAAGGTGATTGTTCAATGAAGACCCTTGATATTTAGCAGCTGCATAACATACGCGTCTGACCTATCCAGGTTTATTAGGGTTAAGTACAAGATGGTGAGGGAGACACCACGTACGCTTTGCTTGGTTAGCAGTTTCCTCGTAGATGAGTGAGTGTCTTAATATACCCCTTTTCTAGGTCTGTGTCAATGGTTTTTCTTGTAGGCTTCGCCCAACTCAGGATCACGTTGAAGTCTCTTCTCTATAAGACCAAGTCGATGAATAGCCACAACACGATTGTCAGGAAGTTGGATGTTTTGATCCTTCCAAAGCAGCGGAACCTCATAATGACCTTCTACCTCCGGCGTCCGCTCACTCGGGAACTTCAACACCTTTTCATCTTCGACAGAACGCTGCACATCACAATCATATCGACATCCAAAGTCCTCGGTCCGCCACCAGGTTTTAACTGTTTTATGAAGCACTTCATCAGGGGTTGCAATATGAACCTTGTAAACAGATTCACCGTGTTCAATATAACCAGGCAGACGCGACTAGTAACAGTCCACCCCAATTTTGCCTGCGTGCAGGCGTCTCCTATTTCCTTTGTTGCACGCGGAAAAGGGACGTCTGCGTAACGCCGTCGCTAATCGTGTTCCAGCGTCCCGCTGGCAGGGTATTCTATTTCGCATAAATTGTGAAATAATATCCGGTTAGAAATAAGAGTTGACAGGCCAAACAAAACATCATAAGCTCGTGAGACGGGCGAAACCTGACCTTGAGAGTCTGCTTGAACAGAGGTTTTTCTTCTTTTCTCTCTCGCGCGAAGATTACTAGCACTACACAGTGCATGTAGCATTCTAACCTTTGACTGAGTAAATCTCATTTTTGCCGCGCTAGGTCTTCCATTTAGAGGTCATGAAGCAGGTTTGTCACATGCATACTGAGTAATCATTTCCTGTGGTTTATTCTTCTGTGGGTGTTCCCGATTTGATTTCAGATGCAGTTGTAAAGTGTTTAAATTTTCTTGACCTCTGTTTGTTACAGCTAAGTAAAGATTTTAGTTTCTTTGGCTGACTTTCTCCGAAATGCCTGCCTGGTGCGAAGTCCACGCCGCTTTTGTAGTTTTCTCTGACACTGTTTACAAATATGATGTGATGTGTCATGCACAGTAAATTGTAAAGAAATAATTTCCTCGTACACGTTAAATTTTCCGCGTCCCCGCACAAGATTTCGATCGCTCTGCTTTTCGATCGACCAAAAACACAGCACACAATCGCACATGTTTTGATTTGTTTTGGTTAGAAAACCCCGCTTACATAAATCATTTGAGTCACCGCATACATTATCAGACCACATTCGATAACAACCAATCAGCGTTAAGTCAAACAATGCGCACTGTGTGTCAGCCTATCACAGCGTGTTCCCAAGATCTTGGGAACCCAGCAGGACGCTGGAACACGATTAGCGACGGCGTTACGCAGACGTCCCTTTTCCGCGTGCAACAAAGGAAATAGGAGACGTCTGCACGCAGGCAACCCCAATTTAGTGCGAACACCAACAGGAGAACCTTTGGGTCCACATCGAGTCTCAAGAGGCACAATAAGTTCTGGGACATCACTTGCAACGAGTAACGTGACTGGAGTTACCGAAACTTCATCCAACTCTAAGTCTGCAATGTGTGGCCATTTCTCTTGTAGTTCTCTGAAATTCACTCTTCTTTCCGGCACGTTCAAGCGATCAACCACTAGAACTCTATGCACATCAAACCTTGTACCAAAGTCATTCAACTGACTGGCTTGAACATCATCACGCTTAGTCAGCGTTTTTGATGATTTCTGAATTCCATTCAGCAGAACACTTTCCATTGGACCGTCAAGACCAGGATTTTTCGCAACATCTGTCGCCAGCAGACTGCAAGCACTTCCAGTGTCTAACATTGCATATGTGTTGAAGTATCCCTTTGGCCCATACAGAGTAACAGACACAACTTGTAATAAAACAGAGTCACTACTACTTTTATGAGATGCACTAGAATGCTCGGTGGATGGGGTAGCTGCTTCTGGTGTTGTTTGGTTAGTTGACGCTGCTGTTTCAATTCATTGTTCCCATCAGGTGTTACATTTCTCGACGAATGCAGAAATATGTATTGTGTCTTCGTGTACACCCATTCACTCCACACGGTTTCAAGTTTCTACAAATGGTAAGCCAATGACCAGGTCGTAGGCAGCAAAAACACGG